CAGGGTGGGAGTAGAAAAATCCACCTCTCAGAGAAACTATGTTATGGAAGTGTGGGGTGGGGAATGTTATGAAGATTGCTATAGGAGGGGAAGAAAAATCCCAGAAGCCTACTTGATGGGTATCCCAAGGCTGGGATATCCATCATAGGAAATAGAAGGCTTGCAGTTCAAGGAAATGTTGGAAAACTAACTTCATAGTCAGCAATTTTGGCAGGCCGATTCAAAAAAGTACCCTATGTATCCTGTGTTCAAAGGACCACTGAAACTACAGCTCCTGTCCTGTTATATTGTGCACTCTATAAGGACCCTAGGACCTACCTTATAACCAGTGCTGTGGAGTCGGAGTCGAGGAGTCGGAGTCGGAGGAAATTTTGGGTATCTGGAGTTGGAGTCGGAAGTACAAAAAACTGAGGAGTCGGAGTCGGAGTCGAAACATTTATCTCCCGACTCCACAGCCCTGCTTATAACTCATTACCTGATAAAATACCCAGAAAATTCTGATCTTTTGTATGTACGGATGTTGTCAGATCAATATCTTTCAGTCTCCTTGAACATAGCCAAATTTTATATATTCAGACAGATTTTGATTGCTCGTTGATGAAACCACCATTAATTATATTTTATCCTGTTTTGTTTAATTTTATTTTAATCTATAATTCTGATCTGTAACTGTAATAAAAATTTTCTCTCATTGCCTTCACAGTTTTGTTTTTAGAGAAGGAGCTGAATGGATAGTTAAGATCCAGGAAATAATGGAGAATTGGGGTATAAGCATTGAGTTTAGATTGTGCCAGTATGTGGAAGAGGCTTTTTTTCTTAATTCAATAAACAAATCCTGATTTAGTACATTTGTCTACATTGGTTTTCCATACTAGCAATATCTATGGAGAAAGTCAATCACTGAGGCCACAATTGTCCCAAAGGTGCTTTTTTCAAAAGGCAATTGGATTTTCTTGGGGGTTTTTTCCTTGAAAATGTTTCACTTTTCACCCAAGAAACTTCTTCAGTTCTTCAATGAACTGAAAAGCTTCTTGGATCAGAGGTGAAACATTTTGAAGGAAAAAACCTAAGAAAATCCAATTGCCTTTTGAAAAGCACTTTTGGGATATACTAGTACTGGAAGAAATATCCATCTGATTCAGTTCCAAGCCGGGAGATAGACGCTGGAAACATGGAGGCTGATTGGAAAGAGGGTTTAATGGTGAACAGAATCACCAAGCACATAGTCCTGATGCAGCTGAACACATGGAGTTGAGAGAGAGGAGTTTTTATACCTTCTCTTGGCCTTTACACTTGAGCTTCCTGTTTCTGTGCAAGAACATGTATTCTATTGGCTGTTGTCAGATTCCTTAGGGTCATGTTTGTCTGAGCTCTCAGGCTTGGTTGAAGTTTGTTGAGTGATGCAATGTCCTTAGGAGATTGTGCCATGTGTTGAGCTCTGCTGCTAATAGGGTTAATCCTATTATGTCCTGGAGGGTCATGTCTTAATCCCATCACCCCAGAGCTGGAAGTCTTCTGTCTTGTAGATAGGCTGGCCCAGTCTTTCTTAATGGGCCCCAAATATCTGCTGGGGGCAGAGAGCTGCTTTCTGTCTTTAAAAACATGTTTCTCTTTTAGGGAAATATAATGTTCTGCCTTTAATATTTCTCAAAATATTTCATTCTTCTAGGCGAAAGATGGATGCTAACTTTCTACACTAGCAGTGTTATAATATGGTATCTCTCCTCTGGAAGTGAAACTCTGGCTATAACTATAGTTAAGTCACAAAGCTGCAAGAAGCAACTTCATAGTCTTGGGTCTTGATAATTCCTTCAGAAATCATGCAAAATCATGGCCTTAACTACAATGAAATAGGATACCTCAATTTAAGCAATGCACAGCCACTGAATATGTCCAGTGCAAACATTCTTCAATTATGTAAATCCACATCAAGTATGACATGAGTATAAGGTGCTTAGTGTTGCTAAAGCCTTCTCCCCCACCCCCCACCCCAAAAAGCTAGTCCTTTCAGTCATGTTGGGAATACAGAATCCAGAACTCCCAGTGACAACAGTCTGGGAAAGAGTGGAACAACAAAACATCTGAGAGGAGGATATTGCCACATTATTTTTAAAATATATATATATCAATACAAAATACTTCACTGTCTAAATAAAATCAAACCTCTGGTTAAAATGTATTTCTTCCACTCATTGATCATAAGTATCTATAAAAGCTGACAATGGCAAAATAGGATTTTTTTCCCTTAACATACAAAAAAATAATCTTCTTGCTGAGGTTTCTAAAAGAAAAATGCTTACATCATCTGAAAACAAACAAAATTTCCCCAAATGCTCCATAAATACTGCTTTTATACATATATAACCATTTCCCTGTGCTTTTCAAGAGCCAAGGCAGTTGCTAACCATCTCCTAAAGCCTCATTTCATGACGAAATGAACTTCGAAATCTCTGCCAAGTTATGACATGCCAGTTCATTCTCATGAATGAGGGCTTCACCTCTTTGGTCAATCCCACAACAATTTAGATCTATTGGGGAAGGGGATGCTTCAACCAAAAGACTAAGTCCTGCTCTTAATTTTCAACTTCATGCATTCATGTTGTTCATAGTAGAATCTTCAAATGCCCAGAGATTTGAATGGCATGCATATCCATGAAAGAGAGAAAGACATAGGGGAAGTGCATCAATATAGGTAAGCAGATTATGAATGGTTTCATGGAGTATATTTTTAGGGTTTGCTTATCCATTCCTTCTTCTTCCCATGAATTATGAGAACTTACTTGAAACCTAGAATAAAATTGTCTTAAATCTAAAACAGCACACACAATGCCTTTCAAAGCAGTAAATGGTGCATAAATTGGACAGATTATAAATAGTAATTTGCAGACATTTTATACCCCAGGAACCCTTTTTCCTTAGTTTGACTAGATGAGGATCCCCTATGCCACAAAACTCCACTGAAGAAGAATCTTCAATATGTCCCAAGATATTCTGGATTCATATGGAGCAACAACCAAAAATCAAGTTTCACCATCGCCACAGGTGAAATTAGAGTTATATAATATGATTTGATTGCTTATTTGTATCATATGACTATCATTAAGTGTTGTACCTTATGATTCTTGATGAATGTATCTTTTCTTTTATGTACACTGTGAGCATATGCACCAAGACAAATTCCTTGTGTGTCCAATCACACTTGGCCAATAAAGAATTCTATTCTATTCTATTCTATTCTATTCTATTCTATTCTATTCTATGGCTAATAATTACTGCCAAAATATACTACCTTTGCCATTCTAATACCCTATCATAAATAATAACTGGGGATATGGGAAATCATTATCTAGTACAGGGGTGTCAAACTGGTGGCCCACGGGCTGGTTGTGTTACGTGCTGGCTCCACCTCTGCCCGGTTTAGCGAAGGGGTAAAAAGTCCCAGTATGTCATGTGACGCCATGAGTTTGACACCCCTGGTCTAGTGCATTAGCAGGGCAATAAGTAGGGGAAGACAGACAGTTTAGGCAAGTTGAACAAATGATCTGACCTGGAGTAACTTTCTAAGAATAAAGAGGAAGGAAAAAAATCAGGCAAAATTAATAATTTCCGTCTCTGATTGCTTTATCCATTTCTTAATGATCTGCCAGGAGAAATAATCAGCATAAGAAAATAGTTTTTCTTGTTTGCACAGGTGTGTATTGCATTTTCAAGCAAACAGGTTAGAATCCTACTGTGGAACTGGATTTAGAATCATCTAGATTTGAATTTCAGAGCCTTCTTCCAGCATAGAAGCAACTCGCAGCATGTTGCACTTGTTCTTGTAACCGGCAGTCACTATGAAACCTTTGGCTTGGGCAAAGTCTGAATAGTTAAAGCAAAATGCTCTATCCTTACTATTCAATTTAGTGGTAACCTCAGCTTTGCTCTGCAAGAAAGATTATAAACCTTCCTAGATTCCCCTGATCACAGCAAGGGAAAAAATGACTAACAAATTTACATTCTAGACTGTACTATATTTCTAGGGAATGCTTCTATGTGTAATTTAGTTTGGCTAAGAAAGAACTGAACTTCAAGAGCTGAGACTGATCAATGGCTACTTTCTCAGTTTACAGCCTAGCCGAAATTTGAAAACACAGCACTGTAGATCCAAATAAAACCCTTTCTTTTTCATCTCCTTGTACTATAAACAAATGAAATGTTTATTACTTAGAGCCATCCAATCAAAATACTTTATGTCTGTATGTCTGCCAATCACAAATACAAATATTGCATGCTACATATGTAGAAATGCTCAAGTTGAAGTTCAAATCCTTTCTGAACCATTTTAAGCAATCTGTAAAATGGAAATATTTATGACAAATAAATGTAGGACATTCATAAAACAAGCATCTCCCAAAATTTCATATTGAAAAATTGTATAAATGTAACAACAAATATGAGTGAGCTACTACTCTCTAGGGCAGCCATGTCAAACTCGCAGCGTCATGGCGGCCGGCATCACGTGACATATCGGGACTTTTTCCCCTTCGCTAAACCAGGCAGGGCCGGGACCAGCATGTGAGGCATCCAGCTTGTGGGCCGCAAGTTTGACAACCCTGATCTAGGGAGTCTAGGCTATCTGGAATACATTTCCTATAACCTTTAATTACTGACCCAGTGGCTGGGATACATCCATGTTGTAGGAATACTCTTTATAAAGTTAATGAAAATCACTGTCACACGACCACATTTCTGTAAGCCTGGGAAGAACTTTCATGAAGTAAAATATAAATCACACCATCAGCATGAAAGAGCGTGAAAAATAAAACCCATATTCCTCTTGTGGCTTCCTAGGTCAGCCTTCCCTAACCTGATGCCCTTTTATGAATTAGACTAGAACTTCGATTATCGCCAGCCAACAGGAAATCCTTAATTCAGCTGTAGTCTGCAAACTTAACAGAATTACTGGCTCTCAAGCTTTTGGCCACAGACAGAGAAAAATTAGTTGATGTTGTACTTACACCACTGGAAAGGTTCTCAGCATAATTTACATGGGGAGAGGAAGGTCAGAAAGCCTCTTGGAGGTCTTCAGTATTTGTTATCATTCTGAAACAAATAAGAAGAAGGACATTAAATTTTTACATAATTTCTTAGAAGTTATTGCACACATCTAAACAAACACCTCACAAACAAGCAATGGTTATTTCATTTTCTACCAAACTCCCAAAAAGTCAGAAGCTGTCTTAACATAGAAGGACTCTGATGGGTAGGAGGGTCTTTTTGAAATATTTTAGTGTCTCACAACGTAAATGCATCTGGACTTGATGGGTTGCAAAGCTATAATTATTGAATAAAACACAGAACTAAAATACCAGTCACTCAGAAAGATATATAGCTTTAGAATGACAAATCAACATTAAGCTGACAACATGACTTGAGATGCATGAAACTATATCATTTTAAATTTGTTTTGCATCACTTAGAGAAACCAGACATATCTCACTTCAAAACTGTTAATGCTTTATTTGACTATGTACTATTTTGGGAATCCACAGGTACTGATCTCTGAAAGATCCAGAGAAATCTACAAGAGTGATTAAATAAGGCAGTAATAACATATCACAAGCATAGAATGGGAAGATTGAGCATATCAAGTCTAGAGGGGAAAAATAATGATGGTACATTTTAACAATTATCCAGTATTTGCAGAAAAATGGCAAAAAAGAGGGAGACTGTTTCGGATCACCTAAGAAGTTAATAAGAAATGTGAATAAGATTTGTAATAAACATTCTGCAAAGATATCTAAATTTAAAGGGACATTAAGAGGACACAATAGCTTTCTACCTTGACTTTGACTAGACTGGAATAATTTTTTCAAGGGACCACTACAAGAGGAGTAGTTCATGGCTGGAATTTATTTTTATTTCTAGAGCAACATTATGGATCTCACATATGCCAATAACTTTAACATGATTATGCTTAATAGTTTGTTTTGCTTTAAAAAAAGAATTCACAAACATCAGAAAAAGCCCCTCACCTTGATCAAGCCATAGAATTGACAAACATCTCTGCTAGATCAGGCCAAAGGCCAACTAGTTCAGTGTTGATGATGTTATCCATTCAGTCGTGTCCAACACTTGGCAATTCTATGGGTTAGGTCAGTGATGGCTAACGTTTTTGCCTTGGCGTGCCAAAAGCAGGTGGAGTGGATTGTGTGTGCGTGTGCCCACACCCATAATTCAATGCGCCCTGCCCCCCCATGCATGCATGCGTGACTCCCCGCTCTCCCCCTGCTTTTGGCACGTAATGGCACAGTGGGCCCGGTAGGCCCATTTTTTGCCCTCCCCAGGCTCGAGAGGCTTTCCTAGGAGCCTGTGGAGGGCGAAAATGGCCTCCCCCCCACCGAGGCCCTCTGGAGGTCCGGAAACAGCCCGTTTCCCGACTTCCGGTGGGCCCAGAAGGCCTGAAAATCAGCTGGCCAGCGCGCAAATGCATGCTGGACTGAGGTAGGGCAACGCTCGCATGCTCACAGATATGGCTCCGTGTGCCACCCATGCCACCCGTTCGCCATCACGGGGTTGGTCTTTCCACATCTTCCAATCTTGCATTGCTTCTTTGAGTTTTTCTATGTTCTGGCTAGTTATCACCTTTGATACGTTCACCACCGTGTTATTTGGTCTCCTGGTTTCCTATTACTGCTAACTCTTCCCAATATAACTGCTTTCTCCAGTGAATTCCCCCACATGATATAGCCAAAATAACTTGAGTTTCAGTTTTGTGATTTTTCACAAAAAAAATCATGTTATGTTATGTGCCTCAGTACATGCTCGTTGGCATCGAGTTCAGTATTCTGTGCCAACTAGTGGTCCTTGAGATACATTTGGAAAGTTTAAAAACCTGGATTAGAAGGGCATGCATTTCTACAGAAAGAAAAGTTGTTGGTACTAATAACACACATTGTTGGTAACCTGTTAATTTAGGAAACTGGAAGATGTGCATCCTTTCAAGAATCCGAAATGACCATATTGACCAGATTCAAAAGCCACATTTGTAAGGGCTATTTCCTACATTATCTGCCATATTTACCATGTAAATTCCCTTGTGGAGTAGCTGAGCTTGCTGCATATCATGCAATGATTGCAAACATTCGAATAAGTGAAGAAGCAGTTGCAAACTCAGGTTTAAAAACAGTACAGCACCTTTAAAACGTGAAAATCAAATCTCAGTTGGAGAAAACATATAAGACCTAAGAATGTAGACAGGGCCCTCTTTCGTGCGAGCAGTCCAAAGACAAAAAACAGAGTCCAAACATTCATAGTGACTTCCAAACTTAGTGGTCAATTGAAGAGTCACTTTTTCACTATATCATTTGTTTTGAAAAGAATCCAGTAGCTGAATACAGGCAGTATGATTTTTGGATATCTCTACCTATCATAGCATTTCAAAACCATAAGGCCTCAACCCTTCAGTCTGACAAACAAAATCTAAGTTTGTCTTCCTAGCATTAACCAGGCAGAACAGCAAGTATCATTAATCTGTATGACTAATGCAGAGGTTAAACCTGACAAACCTTTGTCCTGTCTGCATTATTCATTAATGAAATTAACTTGTTAAGGGGGGTGGGGAGAGAGAGGAGGAAAGGGAAAAACAGAGACTGAAAGAGGAAGTCAGCCTTCCTTCCCTCTCTGGTGCATAAATAGTATGCAAAAGAGTGGAGGAGAAAAGAGGGAGGAATTCCGTATTAGTATGAAAATTGTGGCAGCAACTGTAGGGTGGAATGAACAATCCAATCCTCAGCTTAAAAACTGCTCTAAAAGGCAGCTCAAATTTACAATGGATGAGCCTTCATGGCAATCTGTTTTTCCGATATTAAAAATCTCATTTTCTCAATGCCAAGGACAAGTGGAAGCGTGAGGCACTGGAGTATCAACTCGGCATTTGTCTCATTTGACATTAAATCATTCTCATTTTCAACTTGCATTTTCTAATATCTCCTTGGGAGCCACTTCAGTTTTGTTCATTTTTCTTTGACTGCAATTAAGATATTGGAGTACCGTGTCTCCACCTTTGCCTCTACCTTCTACACTTCCTCTCAGAATGCTTTTTTTCTTTTTCTTTTTTGCTTTAACCAATTTCTGGGCAGTTAGAAGACCAACAAGTGTAGTCTTCTCACTAAGATTCACCGCCCAGAAAAATTAATTCACCTTAAACCATAATGGAGGAATGTAGTATGAATGGAAGAATCAGCTCATATTCATTAAGATTCAAAAGACAGTTTCATGACGAAGACACCAAAAGCGATTTCTTATTCTAAAGAAGTTACAGTACTTCCATCTTTTATCATAGCCAGACTGTGGCCCTGAAATCATTTATCAGATATTAATACATATCCTTCAGCTCAGGATCCCAAATTTCAAATGATGAGCTTTTGGGGAATGAGAGTCTGTCCTCTAAATTTTTGCAATAGCATTACATACTCAAACTGTTATTGTATAACAATACAATATATAAATAGGCAGAACATCCTCTCACCAAAGATTTCACACAGCAATCATCCTACTTTTTTTTCCTACTATTTTAGTTCCATTTTCATGAGTATGCCAATTACTGTGTTTCCCCAAAAATAAGACCCTGCCTTATATTTTTTTGAACCCCGAAATAAGCGGTTGGCCTTATTTTCAGGCAGGTCTTATTATTTTGGGGTGCATGGAGCAAGACGGGGTTCCTCTTGCCATCTTACCTGATTTCCAGCTCTGTCTCCCTAAGCCTATCCAGAGGAAATGGCGGGGACCGGCTGCGCGTGCTTTTAAATACACTGCTCAAAAAAATAAAGGGAACACAAGCAGAAGACATCCGAGATCTGAATGAATGAAATAGCCTTATTAAATACTTTGTTCTTTACATACAGTAGTTTTGTGTTCCTTTTAGTTGTTTGAACAGTGTATAAACTACTGTATGTAAAGAACAAAATATTTAATAAGGCTATTTCATTCATTCAGATCTCGGATGTCTTCTGCTTGTGTTCCCTTTATTTTTTTGAGCAGTATATTTTTGGAGAGGGCTTATTTTCAGGGTGTGTCTTATTTTCAGGGGGCCTTATTTTAGCGCACGGGCTCAAAAGCCCGATTGGGCTTATTATCCGGGGAGGTCTTATTTTTGGGGAAACAGGGTAATTCAAAGACAAATATTACAAATGCCCACATTTATTAAGGACACAGTATGGGTTTTAAAAAATAAAAGAATACAAGTTTCTAGTCCTTCATCTACACAGAAGAATTTGGAAATGACTGAGAGAGACCAAACAGCATTTCCAGAGCAGAAGGAAGGAATCAACAGGATCCAGAGCACTTGGTGCAGAATTATGTTTTAAAAAAGAAAAGCAAATTGTTTATATTTCATCTACTATATTAGTAACAGTCATAATTTTAAATTTATATTTTCATGGGCAAACACTTTTGGCTCTTAACTACCAAAGGGTCTAAAGACAAAGATGAAAACCAAACATAAGCATGCTAGTTCTACGTGCAAACCCCTTCTTCGATTTCTCTTTTAAATTTTTAAAACTTTAAAGGAAAGCTCCAGTTCCCAACTACCAGCCTCATTTTTTTCTAGAAAGCATTTGGGCCAAACGGTATAACTAGGAAAGCAAAACAAAATGGCAGGGCAGTTGGAACTGCTATCCATTGCCTTCAGCAAACATTGTTATTGTTTATTAATCAGGGGGATTGGTTGAAAAGTCAAGAGAGCGGACAGGACGGAGGGATCAAAAGTTCTGTCCACGATATGCACATTGAAAATGGGTGGAGCTTCAATGGCACCATTGGGCTGCCAACTTGACTTTTTGACCACACCCAATGAACACTGCTGTTATTACTATAATAATAGTAACCACATAAAACAGAAGCTGGAAAAAGACAAAATTAATATTTTGGTCTCTGTAGTGTTCTCTGGAGAGAACACTTGGGAGATGTTACTCTTTGCTGTTTGTGTGTGTAGGAGCTGAGCTAAGTGGGCTTTTTGAGTTGATGTTGGCTTGGGTTTTTAAAAATTAAATTAAAAATTAGTGGAATATTTAACTGCACACGGCAGTTTTCCTTCTGTGAAA